ATTATAATGTTCACCTACTATAATTATATTTAATACCATGTAATTCATAAATTAAATTTCAAATAAAATCAATGATCTTGCAATTAATTTCAATTAAAGTTTAATTATTTATATTTACTTATTAGATACATTTCATTATTAAAAATTACCTTACAATTAAATAAATACAAATTTCCTTAACAACATTTCTCAAAACTCAAACACAAAAAATTTTCTCGTCATCCAAACACAAAATGAAACAAAATTTTCATAGTTCATTTCATATTTTACAAGAAATCAAGTAAAATTTACTCATAAAAAAATTTGGATTATTCACCTAAATCATCACTTCCTGTTATGGTACCAAATTGCAAACTGAATGTTCTTTTCCCTTTTCATTTCAAATTCTAAACAACCTGTAAGATGGAGGAAAAGGGCTGATTTGAGGAAGAAAAGAAGGGAAGTTTCATGAACAGAAACCCAGAAATGCATTAAGGTGAAGCGAGTTATTTGGGTTCATGAACACAAACCCAGATCTGGGTTTGTGTTTATGAACCCAGAGCTGGGTTTGTGTTTATGAACCCAGAGTTTGGTTCACTAACACAAACTCAAATATGAGTTCACAAACATGAACCCAAAGAAAAAGATGAGAGGATAGGGTAGAAAGAATCTCAGCGAGGAAGTAGACACAAAAAAAAAAACTGAAAAAATAAAAGGAAAAAGGGAGAAAACGATTGGTGGAGAGGGAGATAATGGAGAACAGTTATTGTAATAATGGAGGAGAGGGAGATAATGGAGGAGATGGAGAAGTTATTTGCTATAGTATACTGGGTAAGAGGGGAATTTATGTGATAATAAAGAGTATTTATGTGATATTATAAAGGTAATAAATATAATTATAGGATCATATACGGAATTATATATTCGATTGTTCAAACGAAAAATTAGAAATTATTATGAATTCCAGTGAAGAGTCGATTCTATGAATGTAAATTCGACGCTTATAGGCACTAGAGTCGACTCTATTATACAAAGAATCGACTCCTAAATTCCAGAGAGCAGCGAAACATTTTGGTGCAGTACAGAGTCGACTCTCAAATTCCAAAGAGCAACGAAAAATTTTGGTGCAGAACAGAGTCGACTCTTTGACAAAGAG